AAGAGACTTCTGTAAAAAGCATTAAAAATCTTACTGTTCAAAAACCATTTCTATTGCTCTAAGTCTGCTCTATTTCTATTTGTCAGAAAAAGGCGGGATTGCTCTGAAATCTCACTCCATTCCCATGGACAGCAGGGAGACACCGACAACAATCAGGTCCAGGATGTTGAACGAATTACGGCAGAAAGAGCCCTTGTGCAAGAAGGCACCATACGTGGTCATCTGCAGTGGACAAAGAAGCACTGAACCATTCACAGAATCAAAACGCAACAAAACCGCTTCTTAGAACACACACCGAACCCTCATCCCACCTTCAGCACAATCTCTGCGGTAAAAACCGAAGTGAAGACATAATCAGCGTAGGCCAGGACCTGGAGCACAGCAAGAAAGGTAGCTGTTGAAGGCAACTGTAGGAACAAGTAGATATAGGCAAGTCTAGAGATTGTGTACCTGGTTCCTGAAGGACATCGGGTCGATGGGGTCCTCCGCAGCCAATGAGATACTGCTAAGCAGGATGAAGAGGAGGATGATGTTGGTGAAGGTTGTAGCATTGATGATGCGATGGCAGAGTTTGCGGAACCTGAGCGGAAAGATCAAAAGAACCCCTAATAAACAGTGGCTATGTTTCCATCACCCTGTTTTTATGTGCATTTTGACATATCACGTGGTGATGGAAACGTCAAATTTGAAAAACGGTTAATAAACGGAGACGGAAACGCATTTTGCGAATAAATTCCTCCATGCGCGCCAAAAAAGTCATCAAGTCATCAACTAGTGGACAGATCTCATTGCACAGCATCTGAAATGTTGTTATGGTCATTCTTAAATAAGTCTGTCGTCAAAGTATTTCTGTATAATTGCCTCCCAGAATCGTCTTACACGATTGCGTTCCCATCCTCCTGCGAACGCATTTATTGTGTTTCGTCTGCTTCTCCTACTTTTCTTAGTGATATTTAGTGCCAGTATATCAGGAAGTGACGATTTTGTTCTTTGACTCGTTGGATGGAAACGGTGCTAATTCACATATGTGACCCTGGAGCACAAAAGCAGTGTTAAGTCGCTGGGGTATATTTGCAGCAATAGCCAACAATACATTGTATGGGTCAAAATTATAGATTTTTATTTTATGCCAAAAATCATTAGGATATTAAGTAAAGATCATGTTCCATGAAGATATTTTGTAAATTTCCTACCGTAAATATATCAAAACTTAATTTTTGATTAGTAATATGCATTGCTAAGAACTTCATTTGGACAACTTTAAAGATGATTTTCTCAATATTTAGATTTTTTTGCACCCTCAGATTCCAGATTTTCAAATAGTTGTATCTCAGCCAAATATTGTCCCATCCTAACAAACTATACATCAATGGAAAGCCTGTTTATTTATTCCCTTATGACTGGTTGTGTGGTCCACGGTCACAAATGTTTTATGCAATATTCCATTTTTGTGCACAAGTTAAATTTGGATCTTTGGACGAAACCCGGCTAGTGAAACTCCCAATATGTATGGGGGTGACGAAAATACAGGTGAGATTTTACTTGTTCTGTGGGCCGAAGATGAAGAAGGAACTGGCCTCTGGCATGGGTACCACTGTCTCCTTCAGCTGCAGGTCTGCCATTGGACGAGGCCGAGGACTGAGGGGGATCTCTGGCTCCTCCTCCTCATCATCACCTGGCCAACAAGTCAATCAAAACGTCAATCAAAGTCAATCAAAACGTCAGACTGACCTAACGGTAAGCCATAAGACCTAGTAAGCTAAGCTAAATTATCCTTTGCTTTACCTGGAAAATCAGCTGGAGGAAATGGATCTTTAATCTCGTTCACATTTGATTCAAATTCGTCCACTTTGAGCTGCACGTTAACATAAAGAAACTCGTGAGTCAGATTAGCCGTTAATTTGGTTTTTGTAGACCGAATTGTCCAAATCTGGCATTAGTGTGATGTCAGTTAACATGTATTGTCTTATTACAAATAAATTAATTATTAAAACTACAAAAGCAGTTCAATCGAGAGCAGCGAGTGATTCCCTTGTTTCTTTTATCGTTTGATTAACATTATTGAGACAGACGGCCTATATATTAAGACTTAATGTAATGCACGGATCTAATATAATGTTATATATCCGACCTTGGCTGTGGTGGGAATTCCATCAATCTTGGCTCTCTGCTCGGCTAGTTTCTTTGCCAGCATGGCCTTTTCTTCCTCTGCCTTATCAGGTAGGTTTTCTCTACACCAAGAACAAACTAAGCATCAGAAATGTCTGTAAAAAGTTACTTTTCCCTGCTATTTGACCTTCGGCACTCACCTAAGAAGTCTCTTCCGCTTCTTCTCCTCTGCCTTCTCTTTCTGGGCAGAGGTCAGACTCTCTGCCTCGGCCAAGTTATCCACCGCAATTGCCAGGAAGACGTTCAAGAGGATATCTGCAGTTAACCGCTCAGGAAATTCATATTCTGTATCCATATCACAGGCCATTTCTACAACTCACACATCTGCATTGCATGAAGGATACAGTTTCCACAGATGAACAGGATAATGAAGTAAATGCTGACCAGGATTCCAGGCATGGCAGGACCTCCGTGAGCCAAGATGCCATCATACATGACGTAGTTCCAGCCTTCACCTGTGAGGATCTAAAACAGAGACACTGGAGAGGCACTGTGAATCGAAACATCTTGCCATCATATCACATCAGCAAACATACACTCGTTCACATCCTTCTCTCCACTCTCTGAGGCAGAAGTCTCCAAACTCATCCTTTCTAATCATCCTACTACTTGTCCGCTTGATCCTATTCCATCTCATCTCCTTCAAGCCATTTCTCCTGCAGTTGTACCTGCACTCACTCAAATCATTAACACATCACTTCACACTGGTGTTTTTCCCTCAGCATTTAGACAGGCTCGTATAACCCCACTACTTAAGAAACCCACCCTTAACCCATCTCTTTTAGAGAACTACAGACCGGTTTCCCTTCTACCTTTCATTGCAAAAACACTTGAACGAGTTGTGTTCCACCAA